TGAAATGAGTTAAGTGATGACGTCACCCTGCTGCTCTATTTAAGACCGGAAGCAAGCGAGGGCTTCACCATTCTGGCGAATTGCCCGATGATGCTGGATGTAATTACCAGCGAAACGTCGTACTCAAACTGTAAATGTTGTGGATTCACTCTTCAACACACCGGTGGGCTAAAGTAGTGAATTATTTGTCTTTTGTCAACGTGACACTTTTTTTGCTGATTGGCCGTGTCGGGTGGTGGAGGGTTACGACACATTTATAAATAACGCGATCTAACCCAAAAACCTTTATTATGCATAATATTGGTCGCGAAAGCCTACGTGTTAAACTGAGTGTTCAGTCTAATGGGCAGTGTTGAGTCTATGGTACAGTGTTGAGTCTATGGGCAGTGCTGAGTCTATGGGCTGTGCTGAGTCTACGGGCAGTGCTGAGTCTACGGGCAGTGTTGAGTCTCTAAGCCACCGGGGAGACAAAGGCGGCCGGACGTGGAGATGGCCACCCACTGCCTCGTGTGCCATGCCTGCCTTCATTGGTGCTACTCGCGAGCAGCGCTTGGCACTAACAGCTTGTTACAGCTACACGGGGGATCTTTTTGCTTGGTGTTGTTGTGAGATCGATAAGGTAAGGAAGGAGTGGTGGTGGTTGTGGTGATGATGATGATGATGGTGCGTGTCTATCAAGAGAACACGCTCACCTTCACCATTGTGGACGTCCAGCAAGAACCATCCGGCTGCTATAGTAGATACACACGAAAAAAACCCATAAAATATTCTTTGGTCAGACAACCAGCAAAACCTTTTGGATGCAACTCTCACAACACACCACACACACCCTTATTTACATACTGCATAGAGGTGGGTCGCTGTGATTCTTGGTATGTGTCTGGGTGGCTGTGTGTGTGGGTGTGTGTGTGGGTGTGTGTGTGGGGGTGGTGTGTGTCTCTTTTGTCGCAAGGGGTATCTTGCATTCAAGGTACAGGGGCCAAATCGTCAACCCGAGGGAGTTTTTTTTTTCATCACGTCCCGGTCGAGCGCTTTTATAAATAGCCGAGCCCTTAGGATCGTGTTAATTAGAGTAAAGTTTCAACTGCGAGCGACCTTTCTGGAGCGAACGCGTTCACAAGGGGATAACCTGGGGTGGCCGGGAGATGTTAACCACCTCGCCTGGTACGCAGGAGGTCGTGCGTTCGATCCCGGCCCTGACGATGCTTGCTGCTGTACATTTAGAGTTTGCGTTTCTCTCTTTCTCATAATCATCATCATCATCATCACGGTGGCTCGGAGATGTTAACTACCTCGCCCGGTACGCAGGAGGTTGTGGGTTCGATATCGGCCCGAAGGATGCCTGCTGTATATTTGTAGTTTGCGTTTCTTTCCCTCTCCCCGTGGTGAGATGTTAACAACCTCGCATGGTATACAGGAGGTCGCGGGTGCTATCCCAACCTGGACGCCTGCTGTGTATTTGGAATGCGCATGTCTCTCTGTCTCCCCACGGTGAGATGCTTCACAGATTATCGGATTTCTTAAGGATAAATCAAGCGGGGGGGGGGGGGTGGGAGGGGGTGTGGCTAGATCGTGTGTACATGAATGATGTGTCGTTACGCCCGTCCACCGTCCAACACAGCCAATAAGTAAGGGGTTTGTGTCAAGTAAATAGCACGCGGACAATTTGGTTTGCCAGTTCAGCTGCGCTAAGGGGCCGTCCATAAATGACGTCACGCGATTTTGGACTATTTTTAACCTCCCCCCCCCCCCTTCGTCACACGATGTCACAAAAAGTCAGACCCCCCCCCTCAAATATGACGTCACAAAGCTCTGCCCCCCCCCAAAAAAAAAAAAACATGCTTCAAATCGCTTTAAACTATTGTCATTGTAGTGCGTATTTAATGTGGCGCTGCACTCTGATGTTGTAGGAGAAAACATTTATTAAAAATCTATTTAATTAAGTAGAACGTGTTGTCTATATTTATTTATAAATTTGCGCATTTTTATGTGACGTCACATTTTTTAACCCCCCCCCCGCTAGGTACGTGACGTCATTTATGGACGGCCCCTAACCCGTTGCTGTGTGTCAGGAGAGTTAAAAACCCACAAATACGTTTCACAATTCGAGCCTCTGTGACCTTTCGCCCCATAATAATGAACTAATTAAGAATTCTGAGATTCCGATTCTTTGTCTCTCTGCAAAAATTATATTGTATTGTTTTGCGGGTTTTTTTTGTCTGTTGATGTTGTTGTTTGCTGTGCTAACGGATCTCCCACGGATCAATGCGGTCTGAATTTAGTCTGTAATAAGATAGGGCGCTGATAAGGGATTGACAGGTACGTTGAATTATCCCATAGACTCCAACGTTAAAGTCGCCCGTAGACTCCAATGTTAAAGTCTCCCGTAGACTCCAATGTTAAAGTCTCCCATAGACTCCAACGTTAAAGTCGTCCATAGACTCCAATGTTATAGTCTCCATAGACTCCAACGTTAAAGTCTCCCATAGACTTCAACGTTAAAGTCTCCCATAGACTCCAATGTTAAAGTCTCCATAGACTCCAACGTTAAAGTCTCCCATAGACTTCAACGTTAAAGTCTCCCATAGACTCCAACGTTAAAGTCTTCCAAAGACTCCAATGTTAAAGTCTCCCATAGACTTCAACGTTAAAGTCTCCCAAAGACTCCAATGTTAAAGTCTCCCTTCAACTCCAATGTTAAAGTCTCCCATAGACTCCAACGTTAAAGTCTCCCATAGACTCCAACGTTAAAGTCTCCCATAGACCCCAACGTAAAAGTCTCCCATAGACTCTAATGACAAAATTCGCCCGTCCGAATATCCATCAGCGCCCCGTGATGCACGCACAAAGACAAAGATACCCGCATGTAGCCTTCAACAGACAGTTGGGGCAAGTGCTGTTAGCGAGCGGCAGCGCCTGTGAAGGCCGGCATTTCTAACACGACGGTACTTTGCAAGCCCACTGATAGTGGAAGCCCACCACCAGGACCATCGCTGCCCACTACTACCATCACCATTAGCAGCAACCTACACCACCACCAGCGCCATCGTTTGCCCTGCACTACCAGCACCGCCCTACATGCTGGGCCACACCGTTTTTATTCCCTTACATTAACATTGGCTACCCTGCCCATGCTGTTGACACCTGGGCTACGCCCATTTTGAACCTTTATAAACAGTTTGCTTTAAGAGGCTAACCCCCTTTTTCCTGTTCTTTGGGTCTTTTGGGTAAAGTCACGTATATAGGTTCAAATAAAATAACAAGAGGGGGGTTAGCTTCCTGATGACGACCGCTTGTGTTGTGATCGAAACGTCATAGTTTTTTTGTTATCTTATTTGAACCTATCTCCGTGACTTTTCTGAAAGATCCAAAGAATATGATTTAATTTAACTTAGCATTTCATTTGTATACAATGGCTTGTCCCCCCCCCACCCCCTGAGTGGAGATGATGTTACATTTAAAATAAATACGGTCTATACGGTTCACGTAAGGTGCAAAAGATGTTAAACCCATACGTAATTACATCACAATGATTGCAGGATTTAACTTAAGTATACTAACCCCCTCCCTCCCTCTCCCCACTCCCATCCTCAGACTCTCACCCATTCATGCGCTCACTCGTACAGCCTCTCGCCCGTTCGTACGCTTACCATACAGCCTCCCACTCGTTCATGCGCTCACCCGTTCATGCGCAGCCTCTCATCCGTTCATGCAATCAGCCGTTCAGACTCTTACTCGTTCATGCGCTCACCCGCTCATGCGCTCACCCATACATCATCTCACCCGTTCATGCGCTCACCCATACATCATCTCACCCGTTCACGCGCTCACCTGGTTCAGGCTCTGTCCGATGAACTCTGACCTCTGGCTCAGCGTCGTCAAGTTTCCCACCAGACGATGGTGCATTGTTGTTATATTATTATCATCATCATCATCATTTAATTTTATCATCTATCTGAAAACAACCATAATTCATTGAGGTGTTTCAAGGAATGTTCATGTACACGGTGGTCCAGATGTCTTGTGATACCCCCCCCCCCCCCCCCACTGAATTGACTCCCTAGAATTTGTTTCACCCTTTGCATATATACACATTTAGATAATTAAAAATATATATGCTTATTTTACCAGGTAAGTCCCCCACTGACCTGCTACGCAGTGCCTGTTTTTCAGTAGCGACCTGACTATCACAAATGAAAGCACGACGAACTGTCGGCTCAACATCATCATCACGTGGACGTTTATAGCAGCGGCCAAATAACTCTGAACTCGTAGAGACGTTGATTCTAAATGTGGAGGGGGAAAAAAACCGGAGGTCCTGGAGAAAAATCCAAGCGACCTCGCAGAGAGAGAGAGAGAGAGAGGGACAGGCAGACTCCAAATATACAGCAGGCATCGTTAGGGTCGGGATCGAACTACTCACGACTTCATGCACACCAGGCGAGGTCGTTAACATCTCCGAGCCACCGTGGCACCACAAATAAATGGAGTATGTCTCTAAACCGATAGCTATGCAGTTACCACTTCACGTTACCCTACACGTGTGTGTGTGTGTGTATTAAAACACGTAAAACGCAACACATTCATCAATAAAAACAACATTGTGGTTTTCAATGTCTAATTGTATATGTATATAATCAACAACGTTTCGGACATTAAGTCCTGCTTCACCCTAAACGATTCGTACTTTATAATTTGCCAAAATGTCTGTCCGTGAATGCCGTACGCACACAAAATGGCCGACTGCACGTTTTGGGATGACGTCACAGGATCTTAACCTTCCCCCCCCCCCCCAAGAACGAAGCAGACCGGCGCCCAGTGTTGTGATGATGATGCTGTGTGTGATGATGATGCTGTGTGATAATGATGATGATGATGTGTGATGATGCTGTGTGATGATGATGATGATGCTGTGTGATGATGATGATGCTGTGTGTGATGATAATGATGATGATGATACTGTGTGTGATACTGACGCTGTATGATGATGATGACGACGATGATGATGATTCTGCACGTGACGACGCTTCGTGTGATGATGATGATGATGATGATTCTGCGAGTGGCGATGAAGACAACCGCAGTATTCACCAGGACATTCCACCTCTCCCCCCACCCCTGCCGGATCCTCACACCGTCAAACACAACAACAACAACAAACAACAACCACAACAACCACAACAAGCAGCGAACACTAAATCCCTCTCACTGCCCGCCGCCGCCACCCTTGACAGCGTCGCCGACCGACCACCCGCGCCTCCGCATCAGCAGCCTCGACGCGCCCCGGCGTATCGCGCCCGTCCGCAGGCCGTAGATGACGGGGTTGAGGGCGGGCGGCAGGGTGTAGTGCATCGTCTGGAAGGGGGCGCGCACCTCGCGCGGCAGCTGGGCGAACACCTGGAAGCCGCTGGCGATCGCGAAGAACACCGAGCCGAAGTAGAGGGCGATGACGAGCAGGTGGGCTCCGCACGTCTCGACGGCGCGCCTCTGCCCGCCGCGCCTCCGGCACTCGGCGAGGATGAGCGAGTACATGGCGACGACGAGGACGAGGGGCGCCGCGACGCCCGAGAGCACGTTCGCGTACGAGTAGGCGACGTTGGCGACGCTGCGCGTGCACGACGTGTTGATGAGCACCAGGTTGTCGCAGTTCGCCGCCAGGATCACCTTGGGCCGGCAGAAGTCGAGGCTCGTCACCTGCAGCACGTAGCCGGCGGCCTGCGCCGCGGCGAGCAGCAGGGTGAGCGCGAGCGCCTTGAGGGCCACGGGCACCGACATCAGCGACGGGTACCGGAGGGGCCGGCAGACGGCGAGGTAGCGGTCGACCGACATGAGGGCGAGCACGTAGCCCTGGTCGCGGAGCGACGCGTGGTAGAAGAAGACCTGCGCGAAGCACTGGCCCGTCGTGATGTAGTTGTCGGAGAAGAAGTCGTAGAGGATTCGCGGCATCGTCGACGTGCTCTGGACGAGGTCGGCGAGCGAGAGGGCCGCGATGAGCACGTACATCGGCTTGTGGAGCCGGCGGTCGCACGTCACGGTGACGATGAGCAGCGAGTTGCCGGCGAGCGACGCGAGGTAGATGAGGAGGACGAGGGCGAACGAGGTGAAGCGGACGCTGGCCGGCTCACGGAAGAGCGTCGACATGAAGATGAGGTGCGCGGGGACGTCCGCGGACGAGTTCGTCGACGAGTTCGACTCGCCCGTCTCCTAGTGGAACACACAGCGCGTTGGCCCACGGTGGCGAGATGTTAACTGCCTCGCCCAGTATGCTGGAGGTCGTGGGTATTGACGGCTGTTGTGTTTTCTGAGTGTGCGTGCCTCTCTCTCTGTCTCTCTCTGTCTCTCCGCCGTGGTCGCGTGGATTTTTTCTCAGGTGTCCATCGGTGTTTCTACCCACATTTGAGACACGACGTGCATCTAGGGTATTTGTCTGCTATAAGTTTATGTGGGTCTCCGTGGGTCTCTATGGGTCTCTATTGGACTGTAGAAACATGCGTTTAGAATATTCGGGCTATGTATTCTTTGGTTCTTGCGGTAAAGTAATTCAGTTAGAAAAAGAATATGGAAAAACAAAAAGACGACGTTTCGATCGCAACACAAGCGGTCGCCATCAGGAAAAGCCTTTACCTGATGACATCGGGAAAAGCCTTTTTGCTGGTGACGACCACGTGTGTTGATGACATCAGGAAAATCCTTTTTTGCTGATGACGACCACGTGTGTTGATGACATCAGGAAAAGCCTTTTTGCTGATGACGACCACGTGTGTTGATGACATCAGGAAAATTATTTTTTACTGATGATGACCACGTGTGTTGATGACATCAGGAAAAGCCTTTTTGCTGATAACGACCACGTGTGTTGATGACATCAGGAAAAGCCTTTTTTTGCTGATGACGACCACGTGTGTTGATGACATCAGGAAAAGCCTTTTTTACTGATGACGACCACGTGTGTTGATGACATCAGGAAAATCATTTTTTGCTGATGACGACCACGTGTGTTGATGACATCAGGAAAAGCCTTTTTACTGATGACGACCACGTGTGTTGATGACATCAGGAAAATTATTTTTTACTGATGACGACCACGTGTGTTGATGACATCAGGAAAAGCCTTTTTGCTGACGATGACCACTTGAGTTACAATCGAAACGTCGTGGTTTTTTTACGTTTAATTATTCTTTTTTTCACATCTACGTGACTTTACCGAAAGAACCAAATAACATTGCATTCCAGCGGTCACGAGAAGTTTTTTGGGGCAAAATTGATTTGGCCTACTGCGATAAACGACGGTGATGTTGATAAGCCACTTCGTTGGGCTATAATTTGTGGCAGCAAGGTCGCATTGGAAAAAGAGCCAAATGACAGCTCAGTGGGCCTATTTATTTGTTCACCAAGGCGCTGAAGAAAGAATTAGAAATTTCGTTCGTTCGTTCGTTTCAAGGTCCGCCTGTCCTGGTGAGGGTCGCGGTGCCAGCATCTTGAGTAGTGGCGGTCCAGACCTCCCTTTGCCTCGCGACAACCTGCAGCTCGACGTTGCTATACACTACTACACACGACACACTACTATACACTACACTATACACTACTACACACTACGCTCCTAAACACTAACATACACTACACTACTCTACTACTACACACTACACTTCTATACACTACCATACCCTACAGTAATATACTACTAAACACCACACTACTATACACTACACACAACACTACTATACACTACACACAACACTACTATACACTACAAACGACTATACACTACACTATACACTACTACACACTACACACTACTACACGACTTTACACTACCATACACTACACTAATATACTACTATACACTACACTACTATACACTACACTTCTGTACACTTCTACACACTACACTACTATACAATTCACAATACACTACTACACATTACACTAATATACACTACACTATACACACGGCACTATTATACACTACTATACACTACACTACTATACACTGCACACTACACTTCTATACACTACCATACACTACACTAATATACTACTAAACACCACACTACTATACACTACACACAACACTACTATACACTACAAACGACTATACACTACACTATACACTACTACACACTACACACTACTACACACTACACGACTTTACACTACCATACACTACACTAATATACTACTATACACTACACTACTATACACTACACTGCTGTACACTACTACACACTACACTACTATACAATTCACAATACACTACTACACATTACACTAATATACACTACACTATACACACGACACTATTATACACTACTATACACTACACTACTATACACTGCACACTACACTTCTATACACTACCATACACTACACTAATATACTACTATACACTACCCTACTATACACTACACTTCTGTACACTACTACACATTACACAATTCACAATACACTAATACACACTACACTGCAAACGACTATACACTACACTATACACTACTACACACGGCACTATTATACACTACCATACACTACACTACTATACTACTACACACTACACTACTATACACTACCATACACTACACTACTATACTACTACACACTACACTACTATACACTACCATACACTACACTACTATACACTACCATACACTACTATACACAAGAGACCACGAGAAACCTAAACTCATTTGCTAAGGGCAGCTGTCCCCCCCCCCCACCCCTCATCTGATGACCTCCGATTTGGAGGTGCCGATGCTCATCCCAGCCGCTTCACACTCGGCATTAAACCGTTCCACGTGCACGCTGGAGATCACAGACCGACGAGGCAAAGAGGACAACGTCATCTGCAAAAAGCGGTGACGCCACCTCCATGCCCCCGTAACTGGATACTCTCCATACATCGTCTGCGCCCCGATGTCCTGTCCATGAAAATCGCAAACAAGAGTGGTGGACTATACTCATTGGTTCTTCCGGTAAAGTCGCGTATGTAGAAATAAAATTTAAAAAAATAAAAAAAAATCAAAAAAAATCACCACGTTTCGAACGCAACACAAGCGCTCGTCCTCAGGCGAAAAAGTCGCAAACCACACAGCGAGGGAACGCACAGAGGGACGTCACGCACACAGAGAGCTCGCCGAGAACGGCCAACTGCACGGAGGCAAATACAGCAAGAAGATGGGAGACGCGAACTCGGCAAGCCCTTAGAAATATAATGCGATGCAACGCAGTCGGCCAACAACACAGCTGAGACACTAAACCCCGGTTGACCACGTATTTCAAACGACTGCTAAATCTCGCGTTCATTTTCTCGGTTGAATGCACACCAACGTAAACAGAGGATACGGACTCGTGAACATACACGAGGTACACGGTAGCAGCGGTGCATACACAGAGAAGGCACACGGTGAAATGTGTTTCGTGCAGTACAGAGGGACACAACGAGCAACACCACACCGAGTGACATACACAACGCATGCAGAGGCACGCGCAGAAAGACGCCCGGAAAGGATAACGTACAGGAACTTATGTAGGCTGTAGAGGTGGGGAGAAGGGGAGGGTAACCGTGCATGGACGTGCAAATACCAACGCAGGCAACAAATCGGGGGGAAACACGTGGGAAAACGAAAATGGAGAGGAAAGCACGTGGGAAGAACCAATGATCACAGTAATTCCTGCAAGTCACGGAAGCTTCAATCGTAGATTAAGAGCGGAGACGAGAGGCATCCTTGGCAGAGTTCAACACCAACAGCGAACGACTTCGATTTGACATCAAGGATCCGGACACAGATCTCACTCCCGGGGATAGAAGGACCGGATAGCACGCGAAAGACTAATTAGAGAATCCATTGAAATTGAGAGAAATAGAAATAACTTTCGTCGCTCTGACAGCTACAGGCTTAGCGCAACCTGGAAGCGTATTATTAAATAATACATATTACAATTCCTTATAGGGGAAACACATACGAATTAACGGATTACTAACGTAGCATATAATCACAATAACACACATTACAACTAATTACTAATCTACAACTCATTACTAATCATAACCATCGACTGATTACCAATCTATTATATAATTACAATACTCCCCACCCCGCCTGAAATCGTCGCATCCTGAATGAGTTAAATGATGACGTCACCCTGCTGCTTTATTTAAGACCGGGAGCAAGTGAGGGCTTCACCATTCTGGTGAATTGCCCGATGATGCCGGATGTAATTGCCAGCAAAACGTCGTACTCAAAAACTGTAAATGTTGTGGATTCACTCTTCAACACACCTGGTGGGCTAAAGTAGTGAACTATTTGTCGTTTATACTCTTAGGTTTTTCGGTAAAGTCACGTTGAAAAGAAACAACAAAATAATAAAACGTGACTTTACCAAAAAAACTAAGAGTATGAATTACTGCAGTCACGAAAGCTTTAAATCAATATTTGTCGTTTGTCAACGTGACACTTTTTTTTACTGATTGGCCGTGTCGGGTGGTGGAGGGTTACGACATATTTATAAATAACGCGATCTAACCCAAAAAACCTTTATTATGAATAATATTGGTCGCGAAAGCTTAACGTGTTGAACTGTTAAACTAGCACACAAAAGCCAACCGTGCTAATCGGAGGTGTGCGGGAAGAATGACAGAATGCTGGGGCGAGCGCTGTTCGCGAACAGCACTCGCCTATGAAGGCCAAAACGGCCACACTGCAGGGGTTGTGGATGGCCAACAACAACGAGCGCGGACGCCCGGCCGCCTTTGTCTCCCCCAGTGGTGACGTTTACTCCACACCGCACCAGGCACTCGTTTGATGCGTAAGTCGCCATCAAAGACAGAGACAAAGACACCCCGTGTAGCCTCTAACAGATTGTCAGGGCACGTGCTGTTAGTAGCGAGTAGCAGCAGTTCCTATACACAGACAAAGATCCCCCGTGTAGCCTCTAACAGACTGTTGGGGCAAGTGCTATTAGTAGCAAGTAGCAGCAGCGCCTATACACAGACAAAGATCCCCCGTGTAGCCTCTAATAGACTGCTGGGGCAAGTGATGTTAGTAGCGAGTAGCAGCAGTTCCTATACACAGACAAAGATCCCCCGTGTAGCCTCTAACAGACTGTTGGGGCAAGTGCTGTTAGTAGCGAGTAGCAGCAGTTCTATACACAGACAAAGATCCCCCGTGTAGCCTCTAACAGACTCTTGGGGCAAGTGCTATTAGTAGCGAGTAGCAGCAGCGCCTATACACAGACAAAGATCCCCCGTGTAGCCTCTAAAAGACTCTTGGGGCAAGTGCTGTTAGGAGCGAGTAGCAGCAGCGCTTATACACAAACAAAGATCCCCCGTGTAGCCTCTAACAGACTGCTGGGGCAAGTGCTGTTAGTAGCGAGTAGCAGCAGTTTCTATACACAGACAAAGATCCCCCGTGTAGCCTCTAACAGACTGCTGGGACAAGTGCTGTTACTAGCGAGTAGCAGCAGTTCCTATGCACAGACAAAGATCCCCCGTGTAGCCTTTAACAGACTGCTGGGGCAAGTGCTGTTAGTAGAGAGTAGCAGCAGTTCCAATACACAGACAAAGATCCCCCGTGTAGCCTCTAACAGACTGTTGGGGCAAGTGCTGTTAGCAAGCAGCGTCTATGAAGGCCGGCACGGAACACGAGGTGGGTGGGTGGCCAGCGCCACGCCCGGCCGCCTTTGTCTCCCCCAGTGGCGATGTTTAGCTACACACCGCACCAGGTTAGTCATTGGAGGCTAAGTCGACCTAGTGGGGGGGGGGGGGGGCAGGACCGGTTCAGATAATCGTCACTGCTCTTGTTGGTGGCCGTGAGCGGGAATCGAACTCGAAGTCGCCGGGTTTGAAGCGCGGCGTGGCGCTAACCGCTGCACCACCGCTCCCCACACCACCAGCACCCACCAACACCTTAGCTGTCAACCCATGCGTGCAAGCTGGTTGCGTGCAACTGCGTACCTGGCAAACCCGTACGGGTTTACCCCGTATGAATGTACAGGGCAATTGAGTTCTCACGTCCGTACGGCGAAGAGACGTTTCAATACAGGCTATAGAAAAAAATGTGTATCTGTGCTTGGGTACTTTGTAGGATGAACGTTGAGATGTATAAGTGGCACTGGGTGACCGATAAGGTCTGAATTGGTCTGCAATAAGGTAGGAAATGAAACGGGGTTGACAGGCATGTTGTAGTCTCCCATAGACTCCAACGTTGAAGTTTCCGATAGACTCCAACGTTAAAGTCTCCCATAAACTCCAATGTTAAAGTCTCCCTTCGACTCCAATGTTAAAGTCTCCCTTACACCCCAAAGTTAAAGTCTCCGATAGACTCCAACGTTAAAGTCTCCCATAGACTCCAATGTTAGAGTCTCCCATAGACTCCAACGTTAAAGTATCCCGTAGACTCCAATGTTAATCAGTTTAACACGTAGGCTTTCGCGACCAATATTATTCATAATAAAGGTTCTTGGGTTAGATCGCGTTTATTTATAAATGTGTCGTAACCCTCCACCACCCGACACGGCCAATCAGCAAAAAAGTGTCACGTTGACAAAGACAAATAATTCACTACTTCAGCCCACCGGTGTGTTGAAGAGTTAATCCACATTTACAGTTTGAGCACGACGTTTCGCTGGTAAATACTTCCAGCATCATCGGGCAGTTGCCCGATGATGCTGGAAGTATTTACCAGCGAAACGTCGTGCTCAAACTGTAAATGTGGATTAACTCTTCAACACACCGGTGGGCTGAAGTAGTGAATTATTTGTCCAATGTTAATGTCTACCATAGACTCCAATGTTGAAGTCTCCCATAGACTCCAATGTTAAAGTTTCCCATAGACTCCAATGTTAAAGTCTCCCATAGATTCCAATGTTAAAGTCTCCCATAGACTCCAATGTTAAAGTCTCCCATAGACTCCAACGTTAAAGTCTCCCATAGTCTCCAATGTTAAAGTCTCGACTCCAACGATAAAGTCTCCCATAGACTCCAACGTTAAAGTCTCCCATAGACTCCAATGTTAAAATCTCCCACAGACTCCAATGTTAAAGTCTCCCGTAGACTCCAATGTTAAAGTCTCCCATAGACTCCAATGTTAAAGTCTCACATAGACTCCAACGTTAAAGTCTCCCATAGACCCCAATGGTAAGTCTCCCATAGACTCCAATGTTGAAGTCTCCCATAGATTCCTACGATAAAGTCTCCCATAGACTCCAATGTTAAAATCTCCCACAGACTCCGATGTTAAAGTCTCCCATAGACTCCAATCTTAAAATCTCCCACAGACTCCAATGTTAAAGTCTCCCATAGACTCCAACGTTCAAGTTTCCCATAGACTCCAATGTTAAAGTCTCCCATAGACTCCAACGTTAAAATCCTCCCTTAGACTCCAACGTTAAAATCCTCCCATAGACCCCAACGTTAAAGTCTCCCATAGACTCCAACGTTAAAGTCTCCCATAGACTCCAACGTTGAAGTCTCCCATAGACTTCAACGTTAAAGTCTCCGATTGACTCCAACGTTAAAGTCTCCCATAGACTCCAATGTTAAAGTCTCCCATAGATTCCAACGTTAAAGTTAAAGTCTCCCATAGACTCCAATGATAAAGTCTCCCATAGACTCCAATGTTAAAGTCTCCCATAGACTCCAATGTTAAAGTTTCCCATAGACTCCAATGTTAAAGTCTCCCATAGATTCCAATGTTAAAGTCTCCCATAGACTCCAACGTTAAAGTCTCCCACAGACTCTAACGTTAAAGTATCCAATAGACTCCACTGTTAAAGTCTCCCATAGACTCCAATGTTAAAGTCTCCCATAGACTCCAACGTTAAAGTCTCCCATAGACTCCAATGTTAAAGTCTCCCTTAGACCCCAATGCTAA